GGTGTTGTCTGCATATCTGAGGTGATCTATCTGCTGCCATTTTGTGGAGTTGATGTTTTCAGTCTACAAAATGAATCAAGCTAGTGGGCCAAGTTACTGGAAGGAAGGCCCAAAGCAACAGGGATGCTACACAAAGTAGAAGAGCCAATGCAACCATTGATATAAACACTGAAGGTATTATGCTGTTCTTTCAAAGAGTAGTAATTCTCACATTTCAAGAAAAATCCCATCTTTCACATATGACCTTATTCATGACAATCTGGGGTTCATCATGCCACAATTAAAAGAGGAATCAGAGGACCTGGGTTCCATTAATGGAACTATATGTCACTTACTACATGTATGACCTTAGGTAAGTCACTCAATCACTCTGAGCTTCAGTTTCCCTGACTCTGATGAGGGGATTAGATAAAATAGGGGTTCTTAATTGCATGTATGTGTGTGTGTGTGTGTGTGTGTGTGTGTGTGTATTCACACCACTTGTGTATGTTGGACTCTTTTGACAGTCTAGTGAAAAGAAGAGCAAATATATTGAAATGTATTTATCAAAAAATAGTTATTTAAAAATTCACAGATTCTAGGTTAAGAACCCTTGGATTACACAATTACAAAGGTTGTTTCAAGCTCTATGGTATTATGATCAATGAGTGCTGATCCAGCTCAAAGAACTCCAGTGTTGGGAAACTATTATGTCCTATTTACAAGTATTAGGTTGCCCAAAGGCAAATGGGCAGCCTAAGTGGCTTGGGACAGAAACTTCCTTTCATCTTTCCCTACGTTGTATAAAACCAAATGACAACCACAGATTCTAAATTAAGACCCCTTGGACAACCATGTCTCCCCCATTCTCAAATGCCACCTAGCCCATTTTCCCCACTACCCATATGAGGAAGGCAATACAAGTGTCATATAGAATATTAAAATTGGTAGGGACCTCAAATGCTACCTAACCCAACCCATACCTGAACATAAATTTCTCCTACAACATCCCCACAAATGGTCATCCAATTTTCAATTGAATGCCCATCATGTCTAAAGCACTGTGATAGGCATTAGGGATACAAGTCAAAAAGGAAAAAAAAATAGTCCTGCCCTCAATTCACTAAAGAGTATATATTTCCTTGAAGGCCTCTAGAGAGGAAGAATTCCACTAGCAATTGAATTAGTCTATCCCACATTCAGACAGCTTAGATTGTTAGAGAGTTTATTATTATTCCAATTTTACAGACAAAGACACAAGGGTTTACACTTGTAGGAGACTTAACCAACTGGTGTCCAAGTCCCTGCCTCTCCCTCTCCCTCTCCCTTATGGTGTTCCTAACCCAATCCATTGGAGCTACCATCAGTGACTAAGAATGGGAGGAGTTTCCATATTCCACTGCTTGCCTGGTCGTGGAGATATGACTCTTACGGGAATTCCTTTTGGGGTTCCTAACCAACCCATTGGAGCTACCATCAGTAACTCAGGATGGGAGGTGGGGGAGGAGTTTCCATATTCCACTGCTTACATGGTAGGGAGATATTGGATAAAGAGGGAAACACTTATCTCACTACCACAGCTTCAGGGATATGGGGGTTGGGGTAGATATATCTCCTTGGATTTCCATTCAATACATCTGTCCATGGAAATAGTCATACATGGTACTTACGGTTTCTAGTACTATTAGTACTATACTTCAGGTACACTATGGGTTAAATAATCTTTTGTAGACTAGGTTGGGAATATTACTATCCTGAACATAATTCTGTTTCTATGGAGTAACAAACTTCAAGTTCCAAACATCTGATGTAAACACTAACTTGTGGAATACAACCTGTTTGCAAGTTCAGAACCACCTGTAACTTCACGATTGAAAGCCCTGTTCAATTACCTTAGCTGCATCTGTTGTATGATAGACAGCCAATGAGGGTGTGGTTGCTCTGCTTTCCTTGTTTCTAGCTATACATGAGCCTGGTATACATGAGAAGAAAAAGAGAGGGAACCAGATGGAGCTGTTCTGACCCTCTCAATAAAGCTGGTATATACCAAGATTCCCAAGGGCTCAAAGTGGAGAATGGAGTTTAGTTATTTAAATAATTTGTACCTAACTTCACATGTGTATGGATTGTAACTAGCAAGTTTTGCATAGGGGTGAATTTATTATTATCATTTATTATAATAATACAATGTATTATAATTAACAATAAACTCACACTTAAACCAATTTGGACAACTTCACTTAAAGTAGGAGAGAGATACCAGGCCTCCAGGAAGCTAGGGACAAGGAGAGTTTTTAGGGGGTGGGTATGAAGCACCATCTAGTAACTTCCTAATTTAATCAGTTATTCTTGCTAGCTACATAGTAAGTTCATCGTGTCTCTGCTATTGAAAAATTGTCAAGATACTGCAACATTTTTGTGACTGGGGAAAAGTTCAATCACCCTAACCTAATTATGACTCTGAGTATAGGGAGGAGGTGACATTACATCTTAAGCTATTGAGAGAGGACAAGTATAATTTCTATTGTGCCTGAGTCAAGTACTGTACAACATATTTAGGTGTGTATTATATGTGACTACAATGGAGTTTTGCTAATTAAGAGATTGGTATAGAATGGGGCTGTTCAATATTGACCAATTATGAATTCTCACCTTAAATTCTCACAAAGATTTAAAGTTTCCAAAGCATGTTCACATGCATCAGAATAATAGGTCATATTTTTATAGCCCTTTCCTCCTAACAACGTGAAGTAGATGGCATATGGATTCTCATCCATATTTTGCAGATAAGACTAACAGACTGCCAGAGGGATCCATGACACACAAAAAGAGGAAACCAAGACCTAGAGAGATCATGTGATTTTTTTCCAAGACCACACAGCCAGTAAGTGGCAGAGTGGAATTACGCTGTCTATGCCCTAGGGATGGGAAAACAATCAGATATGTTTGAATGAGATTTCTCCCCTTCTTCTAAAACACCTGGACCTCTTCAGTACAGGGCACCTAGAGGAGTGACAGAGAGTCTGATGTGGCCTCAGTATGATGGCAAGAGGGTATTTCTCATGCAGATCATGGATCCACTTCCTATTCCTGCAAATCCTAAAAAAAGTTGCATCCAAGTTTGGGATTCTGGTTATCCCTTGCCCTCTGGAGATCCGGTTGTATGCTTGTCTCTTCAATGACAGTGATGGCACTGTATTCTTGTAAATAAGCCAATATTTGTAAAAAGTGTTCAGCACAGTGCTTGGGACAAAGTAAGCTTACTTTTTGTGTTTTTTTTTCCTTCTCTTTCCTTGTCCTTCCCATTTCTTTGATGCTAAAATTTTAGTATCTTCTCTTGCGTGAGGTAAAATGCTAACCTAATAAAAATAATAAAACTACCTAAATTCATTGACTTATTCAGTGCCATACCAATTGAACCACCAAAAGATTACTTTAGGAGCTAGGAGAAAAAATTAATCTGGAAGAATAAAGGGTCAAAGATTCTTAAAGGAAATAATAGGGGGAAAAAAAGGAAGCAAAAGTGTCTAGTAGCACCAAGCCTCAAACTATACTACAAAGCAGTGATAATCAAAACTATTTGGCAATGGCTAAAAGATAGAAAGTCAATCAATGGAACAGTTTAGTTACACAACATACAGAAACAAACACAGTTATACAGTGTTTGACAAACTCAAAGACTACAACTAGATTCACCATTCAATAACTGTTAGGAAAACTGGAAAGAAGTCTGGCAGAAATTAGGTTTAGATTAAGATCTCATACCACATACTACAATAAATTCCAAGTGGATATATGACATAGATATAAACGGTCACATCACAAAAAAAGGTTTATCGATTTTTAGAATTATTGGCTTTTATGTTTTCCCTGCCCCACCAAAATTATAGTGAACAAGGAAAAGGTTTTATGATTGCTCAATATTTCTATCTTGTGTTTTTACTATTATTTTCTTTGAAAATTATAGATATATTTTGTTTTTATATCATTTTTATTTCTGTATGTATATATATATACGCACATATATAGGCTATATATACATATATACAATGTTCAGCAGTCACAATTTTCTATCTCTCAAAAGAAGGGAAAGAGGTGTTATTTCCTCATTTCTTACTTCTTTGGTAATTATAATTACAAGTTATAAGTTTAAATTTGCTGTTGTTATTATTGTTCTTTCCATCTACATTTTTGTAGGCACTATCTACATACATTGTTTTCCTGGTTCTAATCATTACTATTTTAAAAGTTGCAACCTAAAAATTTATTTAAAATATTTTCCAACAAAAATCATTTAAAAATCAGGGAAAAAAACCCCAAATGTTTTGCATGAGAGAGACCTCTGACCAGGGGTTCTTACTATGTCCGCAGGGTTTGTGGATAGCTTTGAGGGGGTCTGTTTACTTGGATAGGAAAAAAAATTACGATTTTATTTTCAGTAACCTCTAACTGAAATTTAACATGTCCTTCAATGACTTAAAAACATTCTTCTAAGAAAGGGTCCATAGTTTTCACCAGACTGCCAAAGGGGTCGTCACAAAAAAGTTAAGAATCCCTGCCTTAGATCACAAAATAATAATTTTTTTTAATTATTGAAGGGAACTTATATTCTCTTCTTCTTACACTACTCATAACTGTTCCCAAAGTCTACGGAATCTAACATTTCCTTTTTCTCTGTGTGTTGCTCAAGTTTTCAGGCACAGGTTTACTATCTTGAAATCTTGGTTCTCAACAGAGGTCAAAGAGCACTGGGAAGGTACACCGAAGATGAAGAGCAGACTAAACGAGAGGCCAATCAGCTTGACGCCCCAGGATGGAGATAATTTCTAAAAAGGGTGTCACTTTCAGTAAGTACAATCTTGGGCTTGCGGTAATTGGCAAAATGGTCTAGTTGACATTTCAATTACCCTAAAGAGAACACTGAAGTCTGCACCTCCATAGGTAGCTCTGCCTGAATGCTCTACTGTCCAACCATTTTGACTACGGCAAAACAATTTTAAAAAGGAGAACGTGATACTTGCCTATAATAATGCCATTTTTCTCCACAGGTTCCTGCCAGCTGACCTTGAGAGACGTGTCCAGAATCTCGGTGAAACTCAGGTGTCCCACAGCTCCAGGCTCTAGCAATCAGAACAGGAAATCTGTTAACAGGGGAGCCCCATTTCCTTTTGATCAGATTCGTGGGGCAGGGTTAGGGCCAGGGAATGAAAATGGTGATTCAGGGCCAACAGAAACCCGTAGGAAACATCAGTAAGAACAGCAGGAGGGGAAAGAAATGCAAGGTGTTAAGAGGTACTCTGGCCATTATCACATAAATTATTTCATCCAGTCTACATCCCAACTGTGCAGAGAACTAAAGAGACTGGCAGCAGGAAATTTACACACACCTTGTACTCCATCTCTCCCCTTGATTTAATCTAATTAGAACAATCGCTTCTGCTGTTTTCCACCAACAGTCTCTCACTACCATCTTCCCAGCTTTTACAGGTTCTGAGTTACCACCAGCTCTTATATCTTCAGGAGCTGAAGAAGTTGTGCATCTGCAGATAGGATTTCCTTGGTTTCCACTTATTATGGGGGGGTGATGCCTTTGGTCAGGGGATAAGCTCCCTCCCTGGATTGGCATTTCTGCCATCACATCCCACCTTTGGGCTGGATAACAAAGGTGCAAGCATTAGCTTCAGAGAGCCAGTCAACAGCAATTAATAAAGTCTTTACTGGATCTTTCTCATAGAGAGAGGGCAGCTTCCTCATTCTCATAGACTCATAAACTATCAGAGCTAGTATGGAACTTAGAGAACATCTGGTCCAATCCTCTCATTGTATTAGAGGAGGGAACGCAGCGAAGCCTGCGACGTGACTTGCACAAGGTCACACAGCATGAGACAGAGCAGAGATCTGAAACCAGGTCTTCTGGCTTGAGTCCTGACAACTACTTTGTGTCAGTTATTATGCAAGTCGCTGGGGGTGCTAAGACAAAAAAGGAAATCAAAACCTGTTCCAGCTCTCAAAAAATCATATATTCTATCAAAATGCTTTTATGTTACTTTGTAGGTAAAGTGGGTATGTAAGGAGGAAAGGGGAATATTGTGCTTTCTGCTCTCTCTCTCTACTGTAGTTCATTAGATTAACTGGCTATCACCTTGGAAGGCACACATGTAGCAGGGTTCTGGAGGGGATAGGGTACAAGATGAGAATGTTTTCGGGGGGAAGGAAGAGGGTTGACTAACACAAAAACTGAGCTTTTGGAGGTGGAACAGAAAAGAACAACCAGTGGGATAATCCTAATTGAATGCTGCAGGGGGGAGGCCCCAAGCGGCTGTGAGGCACTAAGAGAGAAGGTACCAAGCCAAGGAACAATACGGCCAGCACTGAATGTAAAGAGTGGTGATATGCTGTAACTGGGCCTAGTCAGAGGAGGGCTGAGCAGGGGTTGACCCTTCCTTCCAAGTCTATGTTCCTATTTCTTTTTTACTGGCTTCCTCTCTGTTAGCTCCACTCTAATCAGATGTCTAGAATGGAGAAGGGAGTATAGAAACCACTCTGGAAGAATTTGAAAATAATATGTAGCCCCATAAGAAAAGAATGTCCAGTCACTGGGACCCTGAAGTTCATTCAAAGGGAATAATTTTTAACATCAAAGAATCAAACATTTAGAATAAAAATAGTTATGGCCACTGACCCATAGGTCCTTGCAACCTAAATGAGTATATGTGTATGTGTGTGTGTGTGTGTGTGTGTATGTACATATACATATACATACATATATACATATATGCACACATATGTGTATATATGTGCATATATATGTAGTTGTATATGTATATGTGTGTGTGTGTATATATATATATATATATATATATATATATATATATCTGTATGTATGCCAACATCTATTTTCTCTAAAAGTTAACTTCCTAGCTTTGCTATTTTCCCCTGCTAGGCAGTGAGGGAAACAGCTCCAAAGCTCTTATTGGTGATTTAAAAAAATAACAAAAACAAAATAAAATAAACCCCTGTTTTTTCTACTTTCATTTCTAAGAGAAATAGAGGGATAGAAATGTCCAAGCTCTCTAGAAAAGGTATGATGAGCCTAGACCTGCTTTTCTCCCTGTTATTTCTCACAGCCCCATTCCTACCTTGACACTGTCATCTTCCTCTTCAAGGAAGTTTCTCTCTAAGATAAAATGAGGGGAAGAGTTCAGAAAGAAAGATAGGAAACAGAGAAGGTGGTAAAGGAGGGAGGAAGGGGGAAATGGGAGGAGATAAAATGGGAGAAAGATGGAGGCTTTTAAGATGAATGCAAGATCAGTTTCCCAGTTGGTATTTGAATAACTACAATGTGTAATTAAAACAAAAATTGGCAATTGATTCTGAAAATACACCTGTCAGGGCAAACCTTTTGAAAGGGTTTTTCGTGAGCTCAAATAGTCTGACAAGCTTTAGCTTCCCAGGGTAGAAGATGGCAAAATAGAATGGCTGTCAAGACTATATCCTCCCTCAATTTTGATCTTTCAGAGACACATTTTGACTGGTGTTGGATCCAACTCATTCCTCCTCCAATCGATGAACTAAGGAAGAAAGCTTTTTGCTCACTTTATATTCTCTGTGCTCCTGCTACCTAGATTGCTGCCCAAATATGCTATCCTCCAGCTCTGTGGAAACCAGTTGGCAATGTCTGGACTAAAAATTTATATTGTGTTTCCTCGATGCTTCTCCTTTTGCCCTAAGTTCCCATTCCACTTGAACCTTGAAAAAGAAAGCCTGCCACTAGGTTACCTAACTATAGCAGAGTGAACCTCGAAGGGTGTTGGGGTTTTTTTTCTCTAAAAGAAAGCACTTCCAATATAGACCTCAACTGTATATTTCACTAATTTGTATATCACACTTAATATACTATATCTATAGTGAATATGAGACTGCATATCCAAGCCTCCTTGGCTGAGAAAATTTAAAACACTGAAATCATTCTTATAGTTTTTGAAATTCCTAGGGAAGGATTCTTCTTACTCATTCACTGTAGGTCAAATCAGATTTGATTTTCTATTTCCTGGAAACAAAGCTTTATGGATGTTTTCCCATCAGTGTTTTAAAAAAAAAAAAGACAGGGTGGGGAGGGAGAAAAAAAACCCTGACTTTTAGTAACTGGCTTTAGTCAAGATGATTTCCTCTTTAATTTGAAAAGGCTAACCCTTTGACACTTTTCAGCACACTAATGTGTCCTGTGAACAGTAAAATACAATATCCACATAAACTCGATGTATGATTTTCTATGATGTTTGTTGATCTAAGGAGAAGTACCCAAGAGACCAGCTCCTTTTTAAGTAAGCAAAACAGTGAAACACATTGAAATCAAGAAAAAAGACGGGGAGAAAGCTGGGTAGGCAAGCCTGGAAATAGGCTACCCTGCGGCTGTGCAAGATAAAGGGCAGGGTATTCACTCATCAGCAGGAAAGAGGCGAGATGCTTCTTTCTCTCCACCACCCTTCTGAGGTGACTGCTATAGATAAATAATTGAATTTTATTCTTTTTCACTTTAAAGATAAGAGGAAGGAGTGTTATTTGTTGTTTTTTTTCTGACATCTCTTATGGTTATATTTTGTGAAAAACAGCTAGGTTTGTAGAGTTTTGAAGATTATGTTCATAAAATCCTTGTGAATAACTGCTTAGGTAGTCAAATACATTTCTGTTGATCACCACAGCATGAGATAATATTAACACTAAATTTAAAAGACAGTCATTACAAAGAAAATATATTGATGAAATGGGAGCAAACAGGTGAGACTGCCTGATCTGCTACCCCTGGGTCACTTGTAAGGGACTATATATTTTACGGATCAGCAGTAAAGATCTGTCACTTTGGAATACTGCAGGTAACACTGGGTGGTATTTTGGTTCTCTCTCCCTGATAGTGGTAACGGGGGGTGTAGGGCATATCAAAGTTAGTTTATCCACATTCATTCTCTCTCTCTCTCTCTCTCTCTCTCTCTCTCTCTCTCTCAAAGTCTAGCAGATTATGAGGGCTTGCCTGATTGCCCCCATTACACATATAAGATACCTGTAATGCAACTTATTAGATACAGGAATCTTTTTCCTTTAAATATGAGATCTGATTCTACATATGTGGATTCAAGACCCAGGATGGATTATGGGAGGAATTGTCAAAGTCAGGCTGGAGAGGACATGTCCTTCTTTTTTTCAGCACTTTGCCACGAGCAACCTTACCCTTTGGGGAGGTGACCCACATTGGGCACTGGACTATGAATTAGGAAGCTTGAGTTCTTATCTTACCTTATCTTGACCACTAACTAGCTAAGCCACCTTGGAGAAATCATTTCTCCCTTCTAGGCTTGTTTTCTGAACTATTAAATGAGGGGAAATGTTGGACTAGATGACCTCAAAGGTTCCTTCCAGTTTTAACACCATGACTAATTTTACATGCTATTGTTTTGCAACAAAAGTATTTGCTGTTAAGGCAAAAAACTACTTCATATGTACAATAAGTGTCTTATAGTGAGAACTTTTTCTTTGTATGTCATGTCTCTCTAACTAAGCGTAGAATTAAAACTCCTAAAAAGACTGTATCTTTTAATTTTTTTAAAAATTCTGTCTGTTGTTTCATTTTGCACACAGTAGGCAATATATATGTACGTATATCTATATCTATATATCCATATCTCTATCTTTGATTGATGATAAACTGATTGTCAGCCATATACTCACTGTCTTCATGAGTCCAGATGAGTTGGGGTGGGCTCCAAGGGCCATCCCCTGGTGTAGTGAAGCATAGAACTGATGTGTAGTAAGCAGTAAATTTCTGCAAGTTAGTTATATACCCATGGTGAATACCATGGAAATCAGGAGCAATGGTGACAGTGATCAGAGCCTCTGGAACATCCACTGGCCATGCTAGGAGCTAAGAGAGAATAAATTAACAAAGTTTTTAAAAACTACATTTCATCACTTTCAATTGACTTATTAAACATTTGCAGAACATGGAGAGTCACATAGATTCATACAGATGTCAAGATTAAGGTGATTCCCAATCTTATCAGTGACCTGGCAGTCTAATTTTGGAAACTGTGACCCAACAAAAGACACAAAGCAAATGATGTTGTAATAATAGAATGCTGCGATAACTGGATGACTAGTGAGAAAGATGAAGCTAGAGCTGGAAGGTGAGAAATTGTCAGTATTTCTGCGATACAGTACAAGGGGTGTTCTTATTCTAGACAACTGGCCTTGCTGCTTTAGACAGAAATATCCCTAGGGAAGATAGAGGTACAAATACATTACGTTATCACTGCTTAGCAGAAATAGCTCTTAAGAACACCCAGCTCCCTAATTATGAGTTCACTGGGTAGACTTCTGATCAATCATTTGATCTGAGAGAATCCACCCAGCAGGATGGAGTGCCATTGGATGACCAGTCCTGGTTATTCATTCATTGGAGATTAACACATTTTTTCTGATGTAATCTCTTTTTCAGTTTAATAAATAGAGCAAATAGGATCATACAGCAGTTTTAGAACTAGAAGGGACCTCAGAAGACATCTAGTCCACTTCCCTCATTTTACAGATGAGGAAACTGAGGCACAAGAAGGTCAAGTGACTTGCTCAAAGTCACACAGCTAGTGTCAGAGGCAGGATTTGATCCCAGGTCTTCTCGTCTGTGGGGCCAGTGCTCTTTCTAGTTGCTGGGAGCTGGGTCATCTCTCAGAATTATAAAACAAAATTTCTGAACACAGAAAAGCAATCCTGTACATGCCTCCTAAGGCTCTATCTGAGCCAGCTGCTAACTTTGCATAAGAATGTAAGTTCCTTGGGGAGTTTATTTATATTCCCAGTGCTTAGCACAGTGCCTGGCACATAGTAAGTGTTTAATGACTATCTTTTATTCATGCATTATAATCATTTCATTTCAAGACAATCAAACAGACCTCTTCCAACCAAAGGCATGGATTACCTTGTATCCCTGGTTGATGCCATTGATGAACTGCTGAGGAGGAGGGTTCCACAGGAACTGGATAGTGGTAGAGTTCAGGGCTTCTGTTTGCACATTCTGAGGGGGAGCTGTGGGGACTGTTCCAAGGCAGCCATTGCAGACAGCAAAACAAATGGTGAAAAAGAAAATAAGGAAGAAAGATGAAATAGAAACTCTGGACTGCCATTGATGATTCACAGGAAGTCACAGCACTGAGCAAAGAAAACCATGATTTATGCCTTTGGAAGATGACAGTGGCATTCAAGAGAAAAGTAATTGGGTTATATCTCATTTTCTGTTGGAGTTTCCCTTAATATATAGGAGGCAAAGTGGGGTGGGTCTTGTGATTATTTGATAAGTGAATCTTTCACAGAAGCTTGATAGGGGTGGCAAGTCACTGTTTTTTTTCCTCTCCATTATTTAAAACTTTAGGGCTCACTTAAGAGATTCCTTTGGTTGGACAATGGCAATTTACAAATTAAATTATTCTATGTGCTAAAAAAACTAAACACAGCATCATGAATTCAGCAATAGAAAGGATCTTAGAATTAATTTCATTCTATCTTATTTTTAAAGATGAGGTAATTGAGGACTAGACAGGTTAAGTGACTTATCCACAGGTAGTAGATCATACAGTCAAAGATCTGGGGATGGAAAGGACATTCAAGTGTATCAAGTTCAATGCTGTCATTTTTCAAAGAAATCAACTGAGGACCAGAGAGATTAAGGGATTTGCCCAAAGTCATAGTGGTAGAAAGAAATATGATTTGAACCCAGATCTTTGGACTCCAATCCAGCACTCTTTCTCTTTATAATGCTGGTAAGCTCATATCCACATACATCTATTATTACCTATATTTGCATAGCTACTTTTAAATCATATTTGGAGATTAAAAGATTTTGTACACTACTAATTTAGGTCAGCCATTTTTAGATTCTTTTCTGGCCACCAGTCTTTAGCCTACACAGCTCCTAAGGAGACAGAGGTAAGGCACTCAACTTTCTAAGAACCAACTTTCAGGGCAAAAAGGATACCAGCAGTTCCCACAGTTTCAGGACTAGAGAGAAAGGAAGAGGTCCCCTGCCCTAGATGCACCTTCTTCTCAGGAGGCTGTCCTGGTACATGGGATAAAGACTTGGCCAAGGACCTCTAGATAAGAGTTACCACAACCTGCAGGCATTTAAAAAAATTCCTCTTAAGTAAATCTTTCCTCCTATCTTTTTATTTCTGTCTCTGAGATATAGTGGTTTGTATGCAAGTGGGCTTTAAAAATATACATATTTGTAGAAATTATTTAAATTACAAAGTTCTCTTCACAGAAGCCCTATCTTGTTAGGCAGAAGAAGGGAACGACTAATCTTCCTCCAAAATTCCCAGGTTCCTACCAGTAAGATTATTTCTCCAAAGATTCATTGTCTCTGGATCAGCAGTTATATATAGGTAGTCTCTCTTAGATAGAAGCAAAGAATGTCAAGGTATAACAACTAAGACAGTCCTTCCATCTTAGGAGAAACACTACCTTCAGCATTCTACTCCTAGAAGCCCTGCCCACTCATCACTGCTACTGGGTGGGCATCCACCCAAAGGTTATTTTGTAATTAGTGACCTTCTTTTGCTGAGTTAACAAAAAGAAAAAAAGAGTTCAAAGCCATCATGAAATATATAAGTTCTAGCAAAGTGCAGACTGGACTTTTGAAAGCTTTGTCCTTTACTGCAGTATTTAACCAACTGCATGAAAATAAATCATGTTAATTGATGATACCTACTCACAAATAAATATAATTCTACCTCTATAGGTGGAAAATAGCCCCCCAAAAGGGCTATCTAGAATTCTATGGCTTTCTAGAAATGAAACTGACAAATTCTTTACACAGGTGGGCAGAGAGCTATGCTTTAATGCAGCTTACATAAAAAACGATTGACATCAAAGCCTTAGACTCCAGCTGATTCAGAATAAGGGAACACTAGGACATTTACTCCCCATGATGATTAGCATTTAAAGTGCTGGCCTTTCACTCTCTGTCCCAAACTTCAGGCCTTTTAGTAGTCTTAGAAGGTAAGAAATGCTATGCTCTTTTCTGGTTTTTTAAGGCTTAAAAAATCAATTTGCACTAGATAATTCCCTCACCACATTACCAAATGTGTTCTCAGTCTTAAATTCGACATAGCCTAAACCCGCTAGATGCTGTATCAATTCTTATGACAATGGACAACATTTTTCTTTTCAAAAGCACGGAGCATACTCTTTGAAAACATAATAATAATAAGCCTTTGATAAAAAATTAAACTCTAAAGCCCAGTAATTCTATTGTTGGGAATATATCCTAACTATTATCAAAAACAACAACAACAAAAGCCATATGTTCAAAGATTTTCATAGTAATATTATACGTAATTGCAAAACACTGGAAGCAAATGGAGTGCTGAACAATTAAATAGTGGTACTTTAATGTATTGCTTCTATAATGTCAAGACTGATAATCATAAAAATAATTCTTCACATTATATAAGACCTTTAAGTGGAAAGTCCTGGAAAAGTAGAAAGTTCTTTACATATATCATCTCATTTAAGCATCATGATGTAGATGTTATTATCTTCATTTTACAGATATGGAAATGGAAACTCAGGTTATGTGATAGGTAGGAAGAACATAAGAAAATCTAGACATATCTTTATGAAATAATGCAAACTGAAAAATAGCAGAAGTAGAAGAATGAACTATGCACTGAATATTACCATATAGGAAGAAAAGTGAGAAAGAATGAATGGACAAATGAAGCATGCTAAGGGGAACTTAGAAAGGATGAATAAAAAATTGTCATGCTGCTTTATAAGCTGAAATTCATTTAAATGTAAATAGTTATGAAGCAAGTTTGATTGGATGTATTGATGTCCATTGTTAACTTTTAAATATCTCTTTACATTTTTTTCAGTCCAGATCTCTGATTTCATCTATGTAAGGGATTCCTAGTGTATAAACTCCTTCTGCCAATATCCATAAGGATCAGTAATTTATAATCTTAGTTAGCTAAGGAACTGAAAGGCTAAGGGCCTTCTCCATTGCTACAGAGCTAGCATGAATCTTAGGCAGAACTGGAATCCATTTCCTGAGGCTAAACACTGCCTCATTTAACTTAAAAAAAAAACAATTAAACCCCCAAAGGAATTTTAAACAGGGAGAATTTCTCCTTTTCTGTCCTTCTCCCTACATCTTCTCTCCCATCTGGGGAAAAGTTTTCTGATCTAACAAATGGGTACTGTTCATTAAATCTTAATATTACCCACATAAAGTATGAATTTGCCTTTGGTGTGACTGAGTCAAAATGAAAAGACTAGCATAAGAATCCCTCTCTTTTCTAGATTCAAAACACATATGGACAGATCATCCTTTGCATGGTGGCCATGTTTACACAACTTCTTGATGCTGCTGGCTTTGCCTTAGGGGTTACAATATGTTCTGAAGTTCCCTACATTTCTATTGTTTAGAACTTACTTTCTTACCAGCAAATTCATGTCTTGATTTTATCTGAATGCCACACTGCTGCTTTGTTTAGAAAACCAAAGAGAAAAGTTCCTCAGTGTCAATTTTTAATTTTCAAGAGGTTTTCTAATCTGAATTTCAACAGGTATTTTCTAAAAGAAAAAAAAAGTCAACAACTGAAAAATACTTTGACTTTCCCATAAAAATCTGCAAAATTAATTACTCGTAAATTTGATCATCATTTTTTTTTTCATGGTATGATCACCAAAAAATAGATAGAAAAACATAGTGGGAAGTACTAGTCTAGAAATGCAGAGACTTGGGTTCCAGTCCCAGCTCAAACACTGACTAGCTTTGTGACTTTGGGTAATTCATTTTCCCCCTCTGGAGATCAGTTGTCATATCTATAAAAAAAAAAAAAAGGGACTGGGCTACATAATCTTTAAAGTCTTAGAAGCTCTACTTTTTGGCATGGTTCCATGCACAATTTAAAACACCGTTTGAAATTCTGGTACTTAGGTTTAAGAGAGAATAAGGAAAATTCATTTATGGCTTTTAAAAGTTTCAAAAGTTTATTCACCTCCTAAGGTTATCTAAGAAATTTGTTCCTTATGGGAAAAAATGCTAAGATGAAATAAAAAATAAACCTGATAATATTCACATTATACAAATTTATAGCAATTTTATATTCATATAAATGAAGTCCTGAATTTGGGGAAAAAGAGCATCGAAGACCAGGATCATATGATTCAGATTTGAAAGGGATAGTAATACTGTTGAGTTCAAATACCTTATCTTACTGCTGAGGAAACTGAGGCCTAGAGAGGTTATGAGATTTTCCAAAGGCTGTGCAAGCAACCAGAAATTGTTAATGGTTCAATAGCTATATTAAATGACTAATATTTAATTTGTGATTTTAAAAAATGACCCTCAGGCATGTTTCACATGTTTAGTGAGAGAAATAATTACATCTCTCTTATATTAATAACTAATTATCAAATTAGGATTACGGTTTCCCTTCCTATTTCCTCATTCAGAAACCAGCTCCTGTAGGTTATTCAGCCAATCTCTGAAGGACATTGCTGATAGATGGAATTGCCCAAATCCTCTGGGCACATGCTTCTAGATCTTGGGTGGGACCTCATCCAACTAGAAGAACTTACAAACAGAATCCAGTCTAGGTAAGTCCTTGCCGTTAGGAAACAAGACCCTGTCCTTAAAACCTTCCGTTAGAATTTAGGGTGACCCACCTTATAAAGGGGAAAATCAGCCAGAATAGTGCAAGTAGAGATGAATTCTATTGTCCAGATTGCTGGAGGTGGTTGAATTTCATGATCAGGTCATGTTCTCAGTAGGAGGAGTTGAAGACTTTTCTTGCCTACCACCTCATTAATATATCCACCTCCTCATTGACTGTTAACCAGTCAAAGTTGATTTCCACCCTCAAGTACACTCCCTTTTCCAAAGGCTTTCTAAGTATTCAATGTTCTCTTGGGGGTCAGGGGAAGAAGGGTCTTTGGTTTGCAAAAAAAAAGCCACTGATCTCAATCTATTAATTATTTGCTAGTCATAATTAATAAATTGACAATTAGCCAGAAACTATGTCTCTCAGACT